TCCCAAACAATAAAAATTTACACAAGAAGCCATCAGTAGTTTTTATATTTTTTTTGTCAACCTAGTTTTAATTGGCTGATCCATCTTTCCAGCCCATCCAACAGTTTTTAATTAGAGCAAGACTGTAGAAAACCACACCCACTAGGAAGGCTTCCAAGGACAGCATGTCAATTCAACACGACAGAGTACCTCCAAAAGACTTAGTGCAAATACATAAACTTCTGGAATGTTTAAACTTCATCATCCCACTTTCTATGTGTGCCAGTATGTGAAGTCAGGAATATGGCAAGTAGATGACATGTTTAATGCTTCTTTAAACCAATAGAGTAGCAGTCCATGTTCCTATGCTTGTTCACTCATTTGGTCTTCTTACCTTTCTATGAAAACCTTCATTGCTACTGCTACCACCATTACCCCAGCCCCTCTCCATATATGTGAGATTACTTCCTATGACCATGTACTATGAGTTCAGCACTGATCGTGAGGCCATAGGTAGCATTTATAATACCCTTCTTCTGGATAGTCCTGATCCTGGAAGTCATTGCTTGGATGCAGTTCTCTATATGATAATGAAACACAAACTTCTACTCCAGGAATCTTTATCCTTACTGGTCTTATCTTTATTGGGCTTTTAGAGATGATTAACGTTTGTTTTGGAATGTGCAAAGAGTTTGTGGGATTTAAGGATATATCCAGAATTTTAGACAGATTGCTGCCACCTCTGGTTGCATAGAACAACCACATTTGCTTGCTAATCAATTTGTTTCAATTGCTCTAAGTAGAATGATGCATCTACTCTTTGTGTTTTTGACATTTGAAGAAAAAGGGATTGTATGGTAGACTCAAGCTCCAATTCAATCATCCTTAATAACTGTGATGTTCACTTACGTAAGTATAATTAAATAACATTGGAATATTCAGAGTTATTGAAGCAATGTGCAGTGCATATCAGAACCCACTATTCCCCAAAGAAGTCCTCTGCCCAATCACACTTAATCTCCATTTTTTTTAGGCTTTACCTCCAACTATCTACTGGCAATTCCACTCTACTTTGTGTTCTTTCAGATTTTCCTATTCTTGTTATTTCAGGTGAATATAAGCACTTCATGGTTGGCTTCTTTCTATTAACATGTTTTCAAGGTATTTCTATGTGCCAATAATTGATTTTTTGTTGCTTAATAATATTTCAATGTACAGATATGCTATGGTTATTTATTTAACCCTTGATTGATGGGTCTTTCCACTTGGAGACAATGATAAGTTACAATTCTGCGAATGTTTATGTAATCATTTGTTAGAATCAATTATTGTAGGTATGCACCTAGGTACATGGTAATTCTACATAAAAAGATTTTCCTTCCCTTTCTAAATTTTAGTTTATTTTAAAGAAAAACTATTTTTTATTTTTTATTATATTTCTCTCATGTATTACAGTGCTATGCACTGTTGTTTTTTTACTCTTTTTTCTTTGCACTCTTTACTTTTTTGAGAGGGCTGACCAATGAGCTCTCAAATAAATCACACACGGAGGATTACTTTTAATTATAAAAGCTTGGTTTTAGCTTGGCTTATTTCTTGCCAGCTTTTCTTACCTGAAATTATCCTATCTACTTTTTACCTCTGGGCTCTAACCTTTTTCTATTTCTGCATATCTTTCTTTCTTACTCTGTTGCTGGTTGTATAGTTGAGTGGCTGGCCCCCTGTGTCCTCCTCTCCTTCTCTCTCCCTCTTTCTTCCTTTACTCCCAGATTTTTCTTTCTACTTATTTTCTCTGCCTGCCTGCCCCTCCTATTCTTTCTCCTTCCTTGTTATTGGCCATTCAGCTCTTTATTAGACCATCAGGTGTTTTTTTGCTGGATGAGACAACCAAGTATGAAGAAAAGGGTCCCATAAATAGGCAAACGTGTCAGCAACTACTCCTGCTCCCACTGTTGGAAGTTCACAACACCGAGCAACTCAGCCATAACATATATGCAGGGAAGTAGTTCAGACTCCTACAGGCTCCCTGATCTCTGCCAGTTCCCATGAATCCCAGTCAATTGATTCTGTATGATATGTTCTCTTGGTGTCCGTGACTCCTTTGGTTACTCCATTCCTTACTCCTCCACAGGACTCCCAGAGCCCTGCTTACTGTTTGGCTATGGGACTCTGCATCTGCTCCCATCAGTTGCTAGATAAATTCTCTCTGGTCTCTTTGATGATGATTCTTCTAGGGTCTGGTCCCATAACAATCTGCAAGTAGAACAAACTGTAGTTTGAAGGTTTTGTGGCTGAGTTGGTGTCCCAACCCTCTACTTGAGACCTTTCTAGGTTACAGAAGTTGGTCAGTTCAGGCTCAGTGTCCTTCATTACTAGGATCCTTGCTAGGGTTACTCTGGTAGATTCCATGGAGTTTCCATTGCTCTGTTCCCACCTCTTCCCCCAAATTTGTCCTTCATTCCAGTCATTTCTCCAGTATTTTCTCTGCACCTCAGTTTATCCCTCCATCTCCTAACTACACCTGCTCCAAGTTCACCAGCAAAATCTATTCCATTTCCCCTTCTCAGGAAGATTGTTGTGTCTCCCCTTAAACTCTTCTTTTCCTTAGCTTCTCTGGTCCTGTAGACCTTAACATTATTATCTTTTACTTTGCAGCTCATATCCACTTATAAGTGAGTACATACCATGTTTGTTTTTCTGGTTTCGGGATACCTCACTCAGGATGATTTTTTTTCAATTTCCATCCATTTGCCAGCAAATTTCATGATTGTTTTTAACAACTGGGTAATAATCCATTGTATAAGTGTACCATTATTTTCTTTATCCATTCTTCAGTTGAGGGACATTTAGGTTGTTTCCAGTTTCTGGATATTATGAATAAAGCTCCTATGAACATAGTTGAGCAAGTGTCCTTGTGGTATGGTGGAGCATCATTTGGGTATTTACCCAGGAATTGTATAGCTGGGTCGTGAGGTAGATTGATTCCCAATTTTCTGAGAAACAGCCATATTGATTTCAAAAGTATGGCATATTGATTTCCAAAGTGGCTGTACAAACTTGTATTCCCATCAGCCATAAATGAGTGTTCCCCTTGCTCTAAAGCTTACTAGCATGAGTTGTCACTTGTGTTTTTGATCTTAGGTATTCTGACAGGTGTAAGATGAAATCCCAAAGTAGTTTTTATTTGCATTTCCCTGATGTCTAAGGATGTTGAACATTTCTTTAAGTGTTTCTCAGCCATATGAGTTTCCTCTGTTCAGATGTGTACTTCATTTTTGAATTGGATTATTTAGTTTGTTTATGTCTTGTTTTTTGAGTTTTTTTAAAAATATATTTTGTATAATAGCCCTTTGTCAGATGTGGAGCTGGTGAAGATCTTTTCTCATTATGTAGGCTACCTTTTTGTCCTACTGATGGTGTCCTTTGTCTCACCAAAGCTTCTCAGTTTCATGAGGTCCCAATTACTAATTGTTAATCTTAGTGCCTACCCTGTTGTTGTTCTGTTTAGTTAGTTGTCTCTTGTTCCAATGTGTTCAAGGATATTTCCCAGTTTCTCTTTATCAGGTTCGGAATAACTGGTTTTTTGTTTAAGTCTTTGATCCACTTGGACTTCACTTTTTTCAGGGTGATAGATAAGTATCTATATGCATTCTTCTACATATTGTCATCCAGTTAGACCAGTACCATTTGTTGAAGATGCTTTCTTTTTTCATTGTATATTTCTATCTTCTTTATCAAAAATCAAATGTCCATATATTTAGGTATCAGGGTGACTATGGCCTCATAAAATTAATTTGGCAGTCTTCTTTCTGTTTTATTTTGTGAAATAATTTGAGGACTATTGGTATCAGCTCTTCTTTAACAGTCTGGTAAAATTCTGCACTAAAGCCATCTGACCCTGTGCTTTTTGGTTTGGGAGACTTTTAATAACTGTTTTTATTTCCTTAGGGGTTATAGGTCTATTTAATTATTTTTCTGATCTTCATTTAACTGTTGAACTTTGCCAAAACAAGGCAGGACAGTCCTTCAAAATTCCTGCTTCACAGAAGAGTCTGCCAGATATTCTGCAGGACACAGAGGAAAGTGACTGACAAACTTTGCTGATATAAGGCAGGCCAGTTCTTCAAATTTTCTGCTTCACTGAAAAGTTTGCAGAAATTCTGGGCCTGTAGGCTGAAGATGGATGCCACAATGTTGCAGAGCAAATCTGGGTAACTGTCCAGTCAGCCAAATGTCTCTGTTGTTAGATAATATTACATACTTCTGGGTCTTTGATGGAGTTGAAGAAGAGATATAGTTGCAGTTTTTCTTAGTTATGATACAAAGTAAGTTAGGTGTAAAACTTTGGATTCACTAAGATAGGATAGATAATGTGTTATTTTCTCTGAATATGCTAACTACAAATGGACAGACTATTGTAAATGTAATTCTACTTGATAACTGTTTTTGTTGTGTATAGTTTTACTATGTTAAAGTTAAAACATTTCTTTTTATTTAAACAAAAGGGAAAGATGATGTAGAATATTATTTTAAGTTGTGTTACATTTGTTTATGCCATGGAACATTCATTTAACAATGAAGAGATATGCTGCATTCTTTTATGTTGCATGTCCTTAACTCTGTGAGACTGCATTACTTTGCCTGTTTAAAACACCTGATGATCTAATAAAGATCTGAACAGCCAATAGTTAGAGAGGAGAAAGGATAGGTGGGGCTGGCAGACAGAGAGAATAGATAGGAGAAATCTGGGAAGAAAAGGATTAAGGAACAAGAAGAAGAGGAGAGAAGGACTCTAGGGGCTGGAACCCAGCCACACAGTCAGCCATGGAATAAGACTGAAATTAAGATATACAGAAGTAAGAGAAATGTAAAAGCCCAGAAGCACAAAGGATAATTTAAAGTTAAGAAAAGCTTACTAGCAACAAGCCAAGTTAAGGCCTGATATTTGTAATCAAGAATAGCCTACAGCTCTAGGCTCAAAGCCACAGAGCACAACCTGTGCTCCCTATCCCACCCATTACAACCCCAGCTGCAGGCCAGCAGGTAAGATTCCCTCAGGTAGGTCTGCACAAACCCCCATCATACCTTGTAATCTACAAGCCCCACTCCATCACCTAAACCTGCCCATCCCCTGTGACCTCAGTGCCTCCCTGAGACACAGACTCTGCCAGTTCTGATTGGACCAAGAGGTAAGTGACTGTTCTCTCTAGAAGTAACCGTCTTATTAAATAAGAAACACAGAGCCAATGTAAAGATGAAAGCCCAAGAGGTCAGAGCTAAGAGCCTTACCCTTCCTGCTTCAGTGATGCTCTTCAGCCAAGAGAGCTACTTCCTGTGTTTTTGTCTTTATATAGACTTTCTGTTCTGCCTTCTCAATGGTTGTAAACCCAACCACATGACTGCCTCGTTACTGCCTATCTGTACAGACCTCCAGGTCTTCTATGGTTGGTATTGAGATTAAAGGAATGTGTCTCCAATGCTGGCTGTATCCTTGAACAGACAGAGATCTATCTAGCTCTGCCTACCAAGTGCTGGGATTAAAGGTGTGCACCACAAACGCCCAGCTCCGCTATGGCTTACTATTAGCTCTGACCCCCAGGTAACTTTATTTATTAACATTCAAATATAATCACATTTCAGTACAAATAAAATATCACCATATTTCCCCTTTTCTATTTTAATACAAAGAAAAAAGGAAAAAGGTTATAACTAACATAAGAGAAACTATATACAAAAGTACAATAACTATATACAATATATACAAGTAATAAATACCTAAACAATGTCTAGTCCATTTATATTTGACAAATTCAGAGAAAATAATTCAATTATCTATCCTATTTTGGTAATTCCAAAATGTACCTAATTCACTTTCTATCCTAACTAGTCTTGACCTACAACTAACTAATCTTCAACTATAAGTAACTAATCTTCAACTCCCTCAGAGACCCAAGAAGGAAATAATATTTCCTAACAAAAAAAAACCAAGAAGTGCATGCAAGCAACTTCCAAAAAAATTGTGAGTTGACAGAAACAGCCAGCTGCTTGGAGAGTCACCTGAGGATTCTCCGCAGTGTTGGGGCATCATCTTCAACCTATAGGCTTAGCGTGTCTGACAGACTCATTTGTGAAGTAGGATGTACACAAGGTCAACTGTTCAACCTCACATTTGGTGAATGCAGTCCATGTACCAGAAACACCTGAATTCCACTAGTGTCCTGTCATGATTCATGATTTTAAATTCTGGAACTTGTTGATTTTTTTAAATTCAGCTGTCCATTCTTCTTGGCTGTGTATATGTGACTTCATCTCAGCATCCCATTCTTCTTCATATCCCTCTATTAAATGCCAGTCTACTATTGAGAGGTGTGAGCTTAGTTACTCTTCAAAAATAACTGTTTCAGCTGCTGTTCCATTGCACATCAGAAGCCATCAGTCCACTGCCTGTTCAGGTGCCTTTGAAGAAAAGGGCACTGTACTTTTTTCGGATTGCGAAGGCCACTTCAGGGATGGTGCCATATTGTCCTGGCTTCAGAAGATGCCTTTTGATAAAGCCATAACCACACTTCTTTTGACAAGAATCAGTAGTCCTTTGTTTCTTATCCTGTCTGTCCTGTCTGTCAGTAGTTGATTCAAGGATACTTTGTTGTCCAGTGGCTAACTTTTGTCACAATGAAAGTTAATTCCATATGCAGTTTCTTCAATGCCCATATTTTCTCTGAAGTAGATTGGTATTGCCAGGAGCTGACATGTCTTATAGTCATAACAAAAAAGAAAATTTTTCTAAGTTATTGAAACATTTTAAATGCCATATTCTGTAGATCTCTGAAGGGTTTGAAGATGACCTGTCTATCTAAAATACATCTGCTCAATCTTGAAAACATACCTAATATTACTACAAGTTCTATTGTAATGTCTAACTACTAACTTTCATTTCTTTTTCCTAATAGTTGGTAATAATAACATTCAAGGATCAGAAAATTGCATTATTTGTTAAATGAACAGTATAAGTACAATTAGAAATATGTATATAGCATTTTCTAGCAATATCAATTTCAATATATATAATTTGTATATAATATAAAACAATCCAATCCAATGTAAAGTATTTAAAATTAGTAATTGTCTTTTTCTTTTTCTTTTTGTTTAAAAACAAGAATCTTAAACCTAACCTCCTTTGCTTAGCCCCTTTCCTAGCCCTTGACAACAACTTGTAACCACCCCCCTAAACAATGAAAATTATCCCAGACCCAAAATCCATTAAAAAGACCAAAAAACCACCTGCCTCACACCACCTCTTTGGGAATGTGGGCATCGTATTCTTAAAATTGCTTCCTGCTGGGTATGGGCCAAGGTATCTTTATCCTGAAAAGAAAAAATTTAGGTTAATTGTGAAATTCTAGGAAAGGTAACTCTATCCTTCATTATCTAGTCTGTGTATAATGCCAAAGTTCAGGTTTTATCTCAAGTCCTTCTTCAAGTAGTCTTTGAGACTGGATTATCTCAGCTAGTCATCTCAAAATTGCTCTGAGCACTTTGAAGTTCAAAGCTGATCTATAGATGATGTTTGTCAGCTTAGTGATATTATTATTGTCCATGTGGAATTGTTTTTGTTGTGGGGCCCCATCTTCTTCCTGGAGACTTCAGTTGATGTTAGGCCTGGCCATGATTTCCTGCAGAAAATTGATAAGAGACTGGAACACAAAGACATATATGTGTGTGTATATATATATATAACATATATATATTTTACATATATATATATAACATATATATATTTTACATATATATATATGTATATATATATATATATTTGGAGCCTTTTTTCTTTCTAGAATTAGTTAGTACTCTATATGACCTTTTATATCTTAACAAAGTTTAAAATGTATGTATATCTATATATCTATATAATTCTATAAATTTTGATATAAAATTCATACTTTAAGAAAAGTTTAAAGAATCAGAATAGAATCAAAGTGTTGAGATTAGTAATAGAATAGTCCCTTATTTAATTTGGTTTTTCTCCTGTCCCATAGCAGAAGCTGGCTCTTTTCTTCTGGCATGATACAGGGAGTTTGCATTTTCCTTTTAACAACATGCTTGAGTTTAAAGAAGGAGAGAGCCATTCTCCAACTCCAAAGTGAACTTTAAATTTTAATTGGTCTGGGACTACAAGAAGACAAATAGTGTTAAATTTCTTTAGAGAAGAGCAGAAAAACACATTTAGGAAGACTTATACATTTTTTTAGATGATATACCCATACGCCATTTCACTCTGTTTCCTAGGATAGATGATTTGTCCCTTTTCATCAGTTGTCTCATTTGTCCTGTGTTCTTCAGATTCCTTAACCTTCACTCTCCTAAAAGACAAAAACAAAAATCTTTCCCCTATCTAGCCAGTCACCCCAGGCTCTAGGCCCTAGGCCCAGGAGAACAAGCCATGTCCGTCTATACTCACCCATTACACCCCCAATTGCAGGCTAGGAGGCAATACTCTTGCAGTTAGGCCTGCCCCCTGTAATATTCAAGCCCCACTCATTCATCCAAACATGCCTATCCCCTGAGACCTCAGTGGCTCCCTGAGGCACAGACTCAAACAGCTCCAATTGGACCAAGAGAAAAATGACTGTTCTTCCAGGTGGTCAGCCCAGTCTTTAGACCAAGTGCTCTGAGACACAACCTATGCCCTCTAACCCCACCCATTGCAGCCCAGTTGCAGACAGAAGCAAGACTCCTGTGGGCAGGTCTTCCCACCCCCCTGTTTGTCCCTGCAATCTACAAGTCCCATGCCATCCTCCCAACCCACCCATCACCTGAGACCCCAGGAACTCTCTGAGACACAAACACCACCAGTGCAAATTGGACCAAGAGTGGGTTCCCAAGACGCACACACCACTTGCACTGATTGGAGGAAGAGAAGAGTAGATACCAGTGTTGGAATACAATCAACAACATGAAGAGCAATGTGGCACCACTAGAACCTAGTGGCTCTACAGCAGCAAGACCTGAACATCCCAATATAGAAGAAGCCCAAGAAAATGACCTTAAAATGGCCTTATGAGGATGACAGAGAACTTTAAAGAGGAAATGAAAAATTCCCTTAAAGAAATCGAGGAAAAGACAAACAAAAATTGGAAGAAATCAATAAATCCCTTAAAGAAAGTCAAGAAAACAAACAAACAAAAAAAGCAAACAAAAAACAATCAAACAGGTGAAGGAAACAGTTCAAGATTTCAAAATTGAAATAGAGGCAATAAAGAAGACACAAGCCAAAGGAATGCTGAAAATGGAAAATCTAAGGAAATGAATAGGCACTACAGATGCAAGTATAACCAACAGAATGCAAGCGATAGAAGAGAGACTCTCTGGTGTTGAAGATATGATAGAGGAAATACATTCATCAGTCAAAGAAAACATTAAAGCCAACAAAGTCATAAAACAAAATGTGCAGGAAATCTGGGACACTGTGAAAAGACCAAACCTAAGAAAAATTGAGATAGAAGAAGGAGAAGAATACAAGCTCAAAGGCACAGAACATGTATTCAACAAAATCGTAGAAAAGGCTTTTCCAAACTAAAGAAGGAAGTGCCTATGAAGACACAAGAAGCTTACAGAACACCAAATAGATTGGACCCAAAACAAAGTCCCCTCACCACATAATAATCAAAATACTAACCATACAGAATAGAGAAAGAACATTAAGAGATGCAAAGGAAGAAGGCCAAGTAACATATAAAAGCAGAATAATACCAGACTTCCCAATGGAGACTCTGAAAGCCAGAATGTCCTGGACAGATGTTATGCAGACACAAAGAGACCACAGATGCCAGCCCAGAGTACTATACCCAGCAAAACTCTCAATCACCACAGATGGAGTAAACATATTCCATGATAAAATCAGATTTAAATAATACCTATTCACAAATTCAGCCCTACAGAAGTACAAGAAGGAAAAAATGCAACCTAAGGAAGTTAGATAAACCCATGAAAACACAGGAAATAGATAATCCCACAAATAGATAAACCAACAAATCTCAAAGAAACACACACACACACACACACACACACACACACACACACACACACACACAATCACCAAAAAGTAGCAGGAATTACCAATCACTGGTCATTAATATCCCTTAATAACAATGGACTCAAATTCACCTTTAAAAAGACACAGGCTAACATAATGGATATGAAAACAGAATCCATCCTTCTGCTGCATACAAGAAACACACTTCAACTTCAAAGACAGAGTAAAGGGCTGGGACAAAACTTTCCAATCAAATGAACTTAAGAAGCTGGTGTAGTTATTCTAATATCTAACAAAATAGACTTCAAGCTAAAATTAATCAAAAGGGATTGAGAAAAACATAACATATTAATCACAGGAACAATCCATCAAGATGAAGTCTCAATTCTGAATATTTATGCATCAAATACAAGGGCACCCATACATGTAAAAGAAAATAAAGTTTAAATTGCCTATCAAACCCCATGCACTAATAGTGGAAGACTTGAACACCCCATTCTCACCAATGGATATGTCTGCCAGACAGAAACTTAACAGAGAATAAGGGAACTAACAGATGTTATGTTTTTTTTTTATTTTACAATACTATTCAGTTCTACATAACAGCCACAGATTCCCTTGTTCTCCCCCTTCCTGCCCCCTCCCCTTCCCCCCAGCCCACCCCCCATTCCTACCACCTCCAGATCAAGGCCACCCCCGGGACTGAGATCGACCTGATAGACTCAGTCCAGGCAGGTCCAGTCCCCTCCTCCCAGATTGAGCCAAGCGTCCCTGTATAAGTCCCAGGTTTCAAACAGCTATCTCATGCAGCGAGCCCAGAACCTGGTACCACTGCCTAGATGCCTCCCAAACAGATCAAGGCAGTCAACTGTCTCACCTGTTCAGAGGGCCTGATCCAGTTGGGGGACCCTCAGCCTTTGGTTCATAGTTCATGTGTTTCCATTAGACTCCCAGTGCTCCACCCGTGGCCTAGCCATGAATGTCTGTATCCAGATTCCTCAGTACTTGGATGGGGTTTCTGGCCCAACTATTAGGGTGTTTGGCCATCCCATCACCAGAGTAGGTCAGTCCCGGCTGTCTCTCGGACATTGCCAGCAGTCTTTTGTGGGGGTATTTTTGTGGATTTCTGTGGGCCTCTTTAGCACTTTGTTTCTTCCTTTTCTCATGTGGTCTTCATTTACAATGGTCTCCTATTCCCTGTTCTCCCTCTCTGTTCTTTTAATTTAAAAGTCAAAATCCAAAGTCTCTTCTGAGATTCATGTAATCTCCTAAGTACAATCTACTGTAAAATCAAATTCAAAAAGCAGATAGATCACATGCTTCCAACATGGCACAGGACATACATCACTCTTTCAAAACATAGGAAAAGGAGTATAGTGAGAAAATACTGGACCAACGCAAGACTGAAAACCAGCTGGGGAAAATCCAAACTCTGCATCTCTATGTTTGATGTCAAAGCACTGTTCAGATCTCTAAATCCTTTCAGTTTTGTTGACTGCAACATACTTCTTTCTCTTGGGCTGGTTCCACTTCATGTTAGTAGCTTTCCTTGACAGATATCACATGGCTCTGGCATCTCTAGCATCTTGGGTTCTCCAAGGCAATCCATGCTTCAACCTCACAGCTTTACACAATGACCTCCATGGGCCTCCACTAAGGGACACCCCTGACACATGCCTGGCCTCAGCACCTTTCCTTAGTTGCTCCTTGACTCTAAAGTCAGAACCACATGGCCAAAGCTTCCAAGTCCTGCTGTTTGCTGGGGCTGAAACCTTGACCCCTTGTTCAATTACAACTTTACCAGTTTTCTGTCCTTGAAGGTTTCCTTCACTGCCTAAGCTTGTCTATTCTGAAACTGGATCAGTAGACCAGGCTAGCCTCAAACTCAGAGATCTGCCAGCCTCTGCCTCTGGACTGCTGGGATTTAAGGTGTGAGTCACCACACCCAGCTCTCAGCTTTTCTTTAATTCTTTTTCACAAGTTGGAAATATAGCTGTGTGGCATCTTGCCTTGAGGTCACCACTCCTTTAATTCCATTTCTTAATTTGTTTATATCCTTGAACACATGACTTAGCTTCAACCCAATTCCTGGTGCTCTTTTTCTTTTCAAATTGTATATTTTGCATTTTTCCTTGCTCAGTTTGTTCCTTTTCATTATAAATACATTTAAGAGTTCCTGCTAATAACCACATGACAGAGTTTATACTAGACTGTTTTGAGATTTCCTCAGCTAAAGGAATTTATCTAAACTCTTCACTTTAGCCTCAGGCAGAGTCTTAGGACAAGGGCAAAAGGTAGGCACATTCTTCACCAACTTAATACAAGAACAATCTCTAGGCAACATACTAAAACTCTACTCCTCTGAAACCTCTCTAGCCAGGCTCCTATAGTTCATCAAATCACATTGTTTTCAATGTTCCTACTAATGTTGCCCATTAAGCAGCACTTAAAGCATTCAACTGCTTTTTAAATTCACATTCCCAGGGTCCATATTCCTTCAAACAAAAGCATGGTCAGGCTTATCACAATGATACTCTAGTCCCTAGTCCCTGGTACCAATATCTGTCTTGGGTGTCTATTGCTATGAAGAGACCCCATGACCATGCAACTCTTATAATGGAAAACATTTAATTAGGGGTTGGTTCAGAGGTTTAGTCCATTATCAACATGGTGTGGAAAAGGAGCTGAGAGTACTACATCTTGATCTGCAGGCATTAGGAAGTGCCTGAACTAGGTATAGCTTAAGAATAGAAGACCCCAGCCGGGCGGTGGTGGCGCACGCCTTTAATCCCAGCACTCGGGAGGCAGAGCCAGGCGGATCTCTGTGAGTTCGAGGCCAGCCTGGGCTACCAAGTGAGCTCCAGGAAAGGCGCAAAGCTACACAGAGAAACCCTGTCTCGAAAAACCAAAAAAAAAAAAAAAAAAAAAGAATAGAAGACCCCAAAGCTCACTCCCACAGTGACACACTTCCTTCAACAAGGCCACATCTACTTCAAAAAGTAACACCTCCTCATAATGCCACACCATATGAGCTTATGGGGGCCATTTACATTCAAACTCCCACAATTATGGATTCCTTTTCTAATATGGGAGATGGAAGGAGGTTGGGAAAGTAGAGGAATAATCTGAAGATGAGAATTTTATTTGTTATCTTCTGTGGATGGATGGCCAGCAAGGGAATGGCTCATTCTCCTGATAACTTGCCTTGGACAGCCAAGGGTAACTCCTAAATCCTGATAAAAGATCTTGCTCTTCATATTTACTATGGCCACAGGAAGGTACCAAGTCTGTAGTATTCTTCAGGGTCTGCACCACATTTCAAGCACCTCCTTTCCTATGCATCCCTATATATGAGGCTCTGTGTCCCAATGGTGTTTAGGTGCTGCAGTAACTCATTAGAGACAGTAAATATCTAAGACATCTATAGAGGGGAGTAATAAGTGTCAGTGATCTTACACCTTGCTACAGTTTGGAGAGGAGAATTTGAACAATTGTAAAAAGTAACTAGAAACTACATGATAAAAGACATAATATTTTTTAGAAATTTTTAAATAAATGGATGTTAAAGACACACCATTTTCAATTGTTTGTGCTGGCACTATGTGGATACATTGTAACTCCCTGTAAATAAGCCCTTTGAGGAATGAGTGTTTCCTGGCATGCATCCCACTTCTATGATACAACTTTTTATAGTTACTAATATACGTTGAGGATAGTAATATCTAAAAATTACACTTTTCCACATCATGTTTAATTGTTAATAAATAAAACAATATGCATAGACAATACATCCACTTACACAAAATAATACTAAAGATTAAAAAATTTTAAGAATGAATAAAAGGCAAGATTTTCTCAGAAACAGCACATAGAAGACATTAGGAGTTGGGAGGCTGAGATACTGGGATGTTATCATTGACTTAGGATTTTGGAGGGAAATTTAAAAATTAAACCATAGTTAAAGCAGAATTCAACTGAACTGATAAAATTTTGTTATGACTTATGGTATAAGAAATGGAGGTCACTAAAATATTAGCTCTAATATATGCCTTTTCAGGATCACCCAAAAAAAAGCAAAATAGAATAGTCAGGTTCACAAAAACAGTTTCTGTCTTCAACTTCACACTTAGATGTCTCCTCTTTTACATGCTGGACAATTGCTGTTCTATGCTTTTAACAGAATCTTGGATGGCAATGAGGAAATCTGGAATATCATCCCCACATTAGTACATTCTATTTATTGGGTGAAAATTTCCAAAATTATCAAGTGTAACTATCAAAGACAGAATGGAATTTTCTTCTTACAAAAAACTCTTGCCAGGGCCCCCTTCATGTCTCTGTTCCTCAGACTATAGATGAAGGGGTTCAGCATGGGTGTCACCACTGTGTACATCATAGCCATGACAGTCTCCTTCACAGTAGAGTTATTAGCTGATGGACATAAGTAAAGGCCAATAATTGTCCCATAGAAGAGAGACACCACAGACAGATGTGACCCACAGGTGGAGAAGACCTTGTGGATGCCTTTAACAGAAGGAACCTTAAGAATGGAGGAAACGATTCGTGCGTAGGACATGACAATGAGAAGGAATGGAATAACAATAACAAGCCCTCCCATGATGAATATCACCAACTCATTAACATGTGTGTCAGAGCAGGACAACTTCAGCAGAGGAGATATGTCACAGAAAAAGTGTGGGATCACATTGTTCTTACAGAAAGATAATCTGGCCACAAGAAGGGTGTGCAGCATGGCATGGAATGTGGTCAGCATCCAGGACAGAACCACCAGACTCACACAGAGCTTAGGACTCATAATGCTGGTATAATGAAGGGGAAAGCAGATGGCCACATAGCGGTCATAGGCCATGACCACAAGGAGGAAGCTCTCAAGGTCTGCAAAATACAGGTAAAAGTACAGTTGTGCCAGGCAGCCTGCATAAGGGATGGAGGGGCCTTGGCTCTGCATGTTCTGCAGCAATTTGGGCATTGTGACAGAGGAGAAGCAGAGGTCAGAGAAGGACAAGTTGCTGAGAAACAAGTACATGGGTGTGTGGAGATGGGAGTCCAGTAGAATGAGGATGATGATGATGACATTTCCCAGGACAGTGGTGAGGTACATGGCCAGGAACAGGGCATAGAACAGCTGTTGTTGCTCTTGGGGAATGGGCAGGCCCAGGAGCAGGAATTGGGAGATGACAGTTTGGTTCTCTTCTGTCATATTCTTTCTTCTGGACTTTAAGGGAAAATGATTTAGATCCTTAGAAATTCAAATAAAAATAAACAGATTTTTAGGCTCTTTATCTATTATTTATTTTAAAACAATTGATCTCATAACCAAAATTATAAACTTACAATATCTGTAATAACTGATGATCTTTTTAAAAAGCTTTCTTGGGTGTTTCAGTATTTTATCATTTTCTGGACACATTCACCTGTGAGCTTTTGCGACATAAAACATGTTAGTTGTTTTCCTTACCTGTCTGAATGGCCATCCTAGGCAGCTGTAATTGGCTTCTTTCTCTTAGTGTCTCTTACACATTGGTAGTCCTCAGGATTCTGAAAATTTATTTTTTTAATAGGATTCTGAAAATAAATTTTTTAAATAACCCCATATATATGTATACATATACATATATGTGTCTGTTTGTCTATGCCAGGGCTGAAATTGACATCTGAAATTCAGCTGTGAAGTCTCTGTCACCCTCAGAATTCTATCCTGTTGCAAAGTAGTTGTAACTTCTTGGATATGTCACAGGCGTGTCAAGTGCAGCAGATCTAAGTGAAACACACGATCCCACTTTGCTCTTTCCCACCTGCCCCTGTTCTGCTCTCGGTTCTGTAGAGAGGACACTGGGGACTCAGTTCTGTAAAGGTGACACTGGAGAACTGATAAATCCAATGTCTGCAAGGCCTGGATCCAATAAGAAATGTGTCAATTTTATTTCTCTTCCTAGCACTGTCAATCTAACAAATCCTGGAGCTCCTCTTAGTTTCTACTTCCTCCATTCATCTCCACACCACCACACTCCTAGAGCAGGCTGGCAACTAGATACTGCCAGGATTGTACAAGATTGCCAACATTTAATTCATTATACTTTGAATAATTTAATGTGATGAGCCTCAGGAAACCAGTTAAAGGACTTACCATCCTTACCTTCCTCTTATTCAAGCCAACTTTCAATACTATCCAAGGCTCTTATCATATTCACAAATGATGCTTTGTTACCAGAGCCATGATACACCTGTGTGCTGCTCTTCTCCAATGCTAGTCTTAAAAGTCACATTTTCTTGCTTCTGGCATTTTACACTTGTTGTTTCTCTTGCCTGTAATTTCTTCCCTTCTTTAGCCCCTTCACCAATGTTGCCCTCATTTATCTTTCATAGATATTTTATGCCACTTGCTAATCAAAAATTTCCACACCACACTGAGATCTGTTACCATGATCTCACAGCAGCCTATGTTCTTCTCACATGCTTCAATACCCCTGATCACTGATTCATGTAGGTTTGCCACCAGACTGTGCACTAAATGCAGGAGAGGCCATGTCCTCCTTCATCTTGCAGCATGGCCAGCCCATGGCATAGTACTTGTGTGTGACTAGTGTTCATAAATGATTTTTGTTGTGTTTCAATCTGAAACAGACTCCTTAAATTAAAGGCTACAGGCCCCCCACTAAATTAGAGCCAATACCCATACTAAATCTTGAAGTGGTATATGCCTTCAGCCCCAGTATTCTGGATACAGAGGGAGGCAGACCTTTGTGAGTTTGAGGCCAGTCTGGTCTACATAGAGTCCCAGGCCAGTCAGGGTAACACAGTGAGACCTGTCTCAAATCATACTATCCATATTAATAATCACTAGACTCGATTCATTTAGCACTAATTTTGACACTTGTTAATGTGACTAGTGCTATTTTGTTTTTATAAAAAATAAGAATAGATGTGATGTGCTGCACTGCTCAGTAATGGTGATGACTCAACGAAATTCTTATGTTTCATTCTACAAGAATTCATGTCATGATTAACTTACTTGTGAGTTGGACAAGGCTCTGGCACTTATTTTTGTGAAATACAAATCCTAATATTACTAAGAATGTAGTTTTCAATGTCATTAGCATTTAGGAAAGCAGACTAGAGTAAAGAAAAATACCTTCTGTAATGGGATGAGCCTCCCACAGTCAAAGATAAGAGAATGTAATCTCCTGAGTAAGAACTCTGCTTCCAGACTGCCTTGTGCTCAGGTGTGCAACCTCAACTCAGCCTAGGGGTTTGTCTGTTGACTGACCTCAAAGACAGACATTTATCAGTTTTCAGCATCATGTGATACTTAGCTTAAATCAACTTATCCAGACCAACCAACCAACCACACACACACACACACACACACACACACACACACACACACACACACACACAATTTTTTTTCTCAATGACAACAACAAACTCCCTACGTTTTAAAGCTGACCAAACAGAGAAGGAGCGTTAGGGAATGTTGGAAGCCTTTTCTCTAAGTGCTATTACTGAGTCCACTGCTGAGGTCTTCCCCTGAAGACAGTATTTAATGAGGCTTAGTTCACAGATTGTATATGTAAATATTGCATGGTGACATCACAGAGAGAATAAACATGTAGAGAAAAATCATGCTTCATTGTGTAAAATTTCCTGTCATGATTAACATGTATGGATAGACTAGGCTCTGGTACTGATTTTGATAAAATACTAATTCTAATGGTGCTATAAATGTGGTTTTCAATGTCATTATCATGTAGAACAGCAGACTCAAAGTAAATTAACAATAGTTTGTCAAAATTCTACTTCCTTTTTAAGTGAGAGGGACCCATGCAGTATAGGGATATATGTAAACATCACAAATCAGAGGCCCCACCTGTGGGTGCTGTCACAATTGATCCAGAGAGCTTCCTGTCTTCTTCAGCCAATAAATCAGTAATTCTCCACCAGAACAGCACATAGAAATCCCCCAGGAGACAGTGTGCTTCACATTAAATACAAATCACCTAGAATTCTGTGAAAACATGGATTATTGTTTTGTAGCTCAGATTCTACTTTATAAATGAAACATCAGGTGATGACATCTGGATGCTGAGGCAGGCAGCATGTACATTATCATTAAAAATACACATTGGTGAGTCCCATGAGGTAAATTGAAACAGTCTTTGATGGGAGGCCTGCTAAAGATTTATTAATGCTCCATAGCAAAGCTAAAAAATGTCCTTATCATCACAGGGCTCTTATGTTGATAGGGTATGATCTTAGGAGAATAATTTTACAGCTCTTAATAAGAGGAGCCACATGATGAATAAAATATTGCAAATGACAGCCATTCATTCAGATATGTCCATGGTGTGGCAAAGTCTCTGAAGATGAGGGATTACAAAGAAGGAACATTATTATCTCTGAAAAATTTTACAGAACATAATACCCTGCAAGATATTAAAACTCTTGTATTAGAAGGACAGTAAAACATCAGCCCATTAACCCACCTGCCAACTCATCCAGAATATCTGAGGATGATGCACAGTCCCTGATAAAATATCATGCTTTTCTTTATTCACTATGCTCACAGGAAATAATAGTCTCTAGGCAACCCCTAATCTGTATCACTTCTTTCTATTTCTCCTTCTAGTTATCTCTGGGCTTAAAAGGTTCTGTGTCCCAGAAGAGTCCAGATCATGAACAACTAATTAGAGTAATTATCTAGGACCTTTCTAGGACCAATTCTTTCAGAGTCCTGTAGTTGTGACTGATTACAGTTATTGATCATGCGTTAAACTACACCCAGGGGAAGGTGAAGAAGAGAGATTTATAGGTAGACGCTTATTCACAACTTTTTCAGGAATGAGTTGCATACCCATGATCTGGGGTCTGTATTTTTGGGAATAATTATGGACTAAACTTAATTTAGAAGATACTATGAATATGAAAACATACAGAAGAAGAAATTAGTTGCTGTTACAGAAACATCACCATGAAAATCATGTACTTTGGAAAAGTTCCGAAGTGACATTCTCTGAGTAAATCATAAGACTGTATAAAAAGCCCTCAAGATAAATAAACATGCTAACATGGACCAGATTTTATGATTCAACTTTCCATACCTGTCAATATATGCTAAGGACAGGAATAAGAACAATGTTTGATGACTTCCTTAAGATCATGTTTATCTGTCTTTAGGCAAAGATCTAAGACAAAGTCTGGATTTCCACTTCTAATTAGTCATTTTTGGCTCTCCATCTTTCTAGGAAATGCTTAATTGTATCCACCACCATTACCCCAGCCACTTTCTGTAACTGCATCAGTGCATGCTAGTGAATGTTCTGCATCCCTGCTATTGTGACTGAAATTACCGCTGACAGTTATAAGCCTTGCCTTTGCTATCTGTCCCCTGTGTTTAACAATCATCAGCTGAGTGAGTTTATGTCCATACTAATAGAAAGCACATTATCATCCTAGCGAACCTGGGCCTTCATTGGCTTTGCCTGTATTGGGTTGCTATAGATGATATTAACATTTTGTTTGGGATGTTTAGCCATTAAAGATGTTAAAACACCTCCCCAGGATTTCATACAGAATGATGCTTGTTTTGTGCACTAAACATTTTTCCCATTGGGTATCAGCATCAACCACACCAGGCAGAGTAATACCACTATTCTCTGATAATGGTTTACTTAGTAACCCAACGTGGCTGGGTGGTAGGCTCAACTTTCAGTTTAGTGAAACTAGTGTTACATCTCCTGACAGAAAAAGACATATATGGAAATATATTATTCACATTTATAAAGTGTATAATTATTTGTATATTCAAAGCTGTGCAAATATCCCACAATCATTTTTAAAACTTACTCATTATATTCCAAGGATTTCATGAGATTATTCATACTTTGCATGAATTATTTGTCTTGTTGCAGTGACAAAATACCTGAAAAAGGCAACTGAAGGGAGACAGGGGTGATTTGGACTCACAGTTTCAGAGACTTTAATCCATCATGGGTTAAATCAGTTTACAAGGTGGAGGTCAGCAAGCAGAATAAAGGAAATACAGGAAGAAGTCATAGCAGGTACAACTTCTAACAACTCATTCCTGGTTAAAAATTTTCTCCAATTAGGTACCACTTCCTCCTTTATACCATGTCTCTGTGATAACACATCATGAGTCCATCTAGGTAGCAATTCATTCCCTGGGTCATGGACTTTATTTATGATCTAACCAT